AGGCTTAATTTGACACATTTGTATCGAAACCGTTCGTGTCATTGCAATGACATGCGGATATCTGTTTGTATATATCCCTTCTCTGGCAGCTACATAGACGATAAAAATCTACATTTTTAGAGCTACTATAGAAAATTTAAAGAAAATTGTATTTCATTCATCATAAATCAAAAAAGAAAACCCAGTAATGTTTACGTATTCACGTCAATTTATATATTATTACCGTCGATTTTTATTGCACAGCAAGCCTTAGTAAATATATAGTATGCAATTATTGTGCTTTCAGGAGCTCTCATTACATCATCATTAATGGGCGTAAAAAATAGCATTATTTCTACACGCACGTAGACTGCGCTCACAAAATACGAGTACACATAGTAAAAATACATGGACAGTAGCTCACAGATAATTGATCCAGTGCTTTAATTAACCTTTGAATCGATATTTCTCCGAACTTAGGTATTTATAATATGAGAAATAAGAAATAACCTTAAAACTTTAGTATTCGGTGTGATAGTCCTATTACTTCAACACAGTTTTAATACCATGTTGCATCGAATCGACGAATTTTTGGGTCGATCCTAAGAAATCCAACTCCTCTTTAAGGGAATTGAAGAAGTCTTTCATTAGACCTAGCCCTTCAGACCTAGCCCTATTCACTAAGCCCAAAGTTGTGCTTGGGGGACAGAAATATTCATCATATGAGGTGGCTATTACGGTGAATATTTTTTAAGAGGTTGAAGAGGTGGGAGCATCGCTGTGTGTGTGTGGGTGTGATCAAACACTTATATATTTAAAGGCAAAAACATTAAGACAAAGCAAAGTTATCTGAAATTCATTGCATTCTGTACCATCGCCTAAGACTGTTGTCGACTATTGACTATTGTGAATATTTTTAGAGCATATTAATTTTTTATACCCTGTACCCGTAGGGTAAAAAGGGTATATTAGGTTTGTGCAAAGTATGTCACATGCAGAAGGATGCATCTCCGACCCTATAAAGTATATATATTCTGAATCAGCATGACGAGAGAAATCGATCTAGACATGTCCGTCCGTCTGTCCGTCTGGATGAACGCAAGGATCTCAGAAACTTTAAAAGCTAGAATAACCAAAGTTGGCATCCAGATTCTCCTATGTCCGAGAAAGGACGAGTTTATTTTTTTTTTTTTTAATTTTCCCCCCCTTCCCCCGCTACAGATTTTCGTCAATAGCGTCCACATTTCAAATGTTACCTAAACCAAACTTTGCACACATATTTAAAATATTAAATTAAAAAAATTAAAATAATTATCTATTGTTGTTCAAAATTTTATTTAATTCGGTCAATTCTAAGAAAAGTTATTAGCAAAACTAATTCTCCCACAAACTGCAGCAACAAGTTCGCTCTTCTTCTTCCTCTTTTTGCTGCTGCTATGGGCGCATATAACTCAGTGACGGAAGTTTACATGGGTACAGGGTATTACACTGTCGGGCTTGCTCGACTGTAGCGTTCTCTCTTGTTTGTATTAGTTTCTAACATTCATATGAATGAATAGTGGACTACACTTTATATATATTGATTTGGAATCAGCATGAATCCAAATCATGATTTTTGACATGGCTCTGTCTCAACAACAACTTCTCCCACAATTTCAAAACATCGCGTTTAAAAATGCCACCATCGCGACGCTTCATTTTGACTGACATAGGTAATATCTATGCAGACGAATAGTACAATAATATATGTCTTACGACCTTTCGGTAAGGCATAGTTAGGGTATACGAGTATACAAAGGTCGGGCGCAGACGAAAAACCCATTTAGCTCGTCCTTAATTGCATTTATTATTATGATCTTAAGAAGGCATTTGCCTATAGGATTAAGTTAATGTTGCTTTGAGCAACTTTTTTAACTTTTAAATTCTTTGTAATAATGTGGAAAATTATGCTGCTTGAAACTTTTCATCTGTCAAAGCCACGTATGAAATATTAGTTTTAGGGTGGATGCAGTCTCCTACTGGAACTCTTACTTTGACAGTTTGTTGTTCTTTTCAACCTGTGCTTAAGACTAACAAATCGCGCCAAAATTTAACTAAGGAAAGTGAGAATTTCAGCCTCAAAAATTCAAACGTAGTTTACGGTCGTATGTTGTTCGTACATTTCCCAAATATTTAGTGGCTGCTTTAAAAGAAATTCTGCTTTCTGACTGCCTTCTCGGGTATTTGCTTGCCACCAGGCCGATTTTCAATCTTCGGTGTAGAAATGTATACAAGTTGCTCAACATTTAGAAGGAGTATGCGTACATGTATTCATATGTACAAGTACTTATCTATGTAGTATTTAGTCTGTTGAAAGTATACTCAAGCTTTATCTCGCAGCTTTATGGCAGACGCACACACCGTACGCATGTTAGCGCGCGATAAACATTCGCTCCAGCGCGCAGGAGCAGGATTGAGGCAGCAGCCGCATTAAGCCCAGCCAAAGTTTTAAGCATTGCTTGGTGACTACGGCTATGGGGGCTCACACTTTGCGCTTTTCATTTTCCGGCGCTGCATTTAGTTTGTAAGAAATTAAAAGTTTTACCTTGATGCCAAGGTTTTTGGAGCTGACGCTGCCAAATGCGATTTCACTCAGCCGCTGATTGGAGCACCGTGCAACTAGTTGTGGGTAAGTTCTATATTGTCAGAGATTGTAAATAATTAATCTACACCAACTACAGAAGCAGTCGATGAGAGGCTAATTAGTTGCAACCGGATCTGCGCTGCTTAAACAATGACAAGAGGAAGAGCTATAGCTGGAACTTGCCTCATTTTCAATAAAGTCAACAACTAATGCTGTCTAAATAAACTGAACCATGAACTTCAATTGCAAGTTGGATCAGATTGGCGCAAAAGTTGTGATTTTTATTGGCAAAGCTTAAACTTTAAGTCAACTCTACTGTGAAAATGCTTACACGAAAAGTTCGCCAACAGTTCGATGGTGAGGCAAGCGCCGACTTTAGAATAGTTGCCAACTAGAGTGAAGCGGAGTGGAGTTTTTAGAAAACACGTTGGCAAGGGAACAAACCAAGTCGCCGCGGGTGCACTTCTTCAGGAGATGTGTTTGTATCGCACTTTAAAGGATAAAGTTTTGCTTGGCTTTCGCATGGAGTCTGCAGAACGTTTCAAGTTTCATGTTGAGTTTACTAATGTAAATAGTTTATTAATCTTCTGCCGTAAGTGTATGATTTGGCAGGATGATATACTCGTTTCCACCTGAAGACCTGAGCAATTGGAAGCATTTTTTATACACTTTGTGTCACTGAAAAGAATACTCTTCTATGTTTGTAAAAAATAACAAGTGAAGAAGCTAAATACTCTGTACATATGTGTAGAATAATACTAGAAATTAAAACAAGATAGAACGCTACAGTCGAGCAAGCCCGACAGTAAAATAGCCTGTACTCTCCACAAAAAGGAAAAATTAAAAAAAAAAAAATTAAATTATTAAAAAAAATGAATGAATTAATTAATTAAAATAATTAATTGAATTAAATTAGAATACATGTTTATGTTCAGTTTAAACAGCATACATTTACATCACGTACCTATGCGTGTTTATATGCGTGTATGTATGCAGCACAAAGTTGAACCAAAGCAGCAACAACAACAACAGCTGCGGGCAGCGCTGGCGACAGAGCTGCAGGCAGCGCATGAGCAGCGATTTTACTTATGGCTATAACTTTCTTCAGAATTGACCTATCATGATGAAATTTGGCACACGGACACATTAGTACTAACTGGATGTACATTGATTTTAAAATTCCGAGAATTACGGAAGTTATAAGAAAAAATACGAATTGCGTGGAGTGGGGGGGTGTATCATAAAAATAAACAAACTCGTTCTGCCTAGGGCTTATAGGAACCTTGATACCAATTTTGGTTATCCTAGCTCTTGTACTTACTGAGATCCTTGCGCTCATACAGACAGACGGACAGACAGACAGAAGGACATGGCTATATCGACTCGTCTTCTCATCCTGATCAAGAATATATATACTTTGTGGGGTCAGCCACGCCTCCTTCTGTGTGTTACATACATGCGCACAAAACTAGTATAGCCTTTCACCCTTTGGGTACAGGCTATAAAAAAATGTAAAACAAAAATTGGAAACAAGTAATGAAATTGAAATTTTACAAAAAAATGTTGATCGATTATACCTCTTTGGGTTTTTGAAGTCACGTAAATGGTGTATACCTGCACATATAGTAGTAGTACATGAAATGTACAAGAGTACTTGTATAGTAGTATATTAGGTTTACGGGATGTGCAAAATGGAACAGGCCGAAGGAGGCGTCGCAGACCCCACAAAGTATATTTAGGGACAAGGAGCGTCTACTTACCAAATTTGGTTAATAAGCGCTCAGCCGTTCCCGAAATCCAGGCGTGAATCTTAACGGACTGACAAACAAACGGACGGATCGACGGACAGACGGACGAACATGCCCAGATCGATTTTTCTCGTCATGCTGATTAAGACTATAAATAGTATACTTTATGGGGTCGGAGGAGCTTCCTTCTGCTTGTTACATACTTTCCAAAAACCAAATGTACCCATTATACCCTTCAGGTAATGGGTATAAAAATGAAGTAAGTTAATAAAAATGCATATTTTTATTCCAATCTGTACTGTTTTATGCAGTCAAAATAATATTAATAAATATCGAATCCGAAGGCAAATCAATATCTCATTTCTATTTGGTCTATTGTCATTGAAATACACACACCTGTGTTTGTAAGTACGTGTGCCCTTCCTAAGGAATCCCATATCGTGTTAATTAATTTACAACTAATGTGCTGAGTTCACTTTGACAAGTTGGCTAGCTGTCGTCCAAGTTAGAACGAATTAACGAGTTAATCAAGTCCATAATTACTAAATAGAAAGTTAGCATCATTAGCGTCAGACTAACGACTGGCAACTGGCGTCTATATAAGCGTAGGAACTGGGTGTAAATCAGTCTAAACAGCGATGGTAAAAAAAATGGAGAGAAAGCTATCTACGACTAAAAAGGGCGTTAAAGAGGACAAACACTCCTTTAGAATCTACGTGCTCCGGATGGCCATTGTCCAAACTTTCTGGGAGTACACAGAACGCACCAAGGTGAGCGGCATGTGGCTACTGCGCCAAAATCGCACGGAAGGACTCTCGAGGTGGGTGCTAACAACTCAGTTTTAGACCGCACAATGCGATAACGTTCCAGATCACAGATTCATTTGGGCATCGGTACTGTTGCAGCTGCTGCTATTGAGCATTTACCTGACAATGCTGCTATGGCTCAAGTTCTATTCGTATCCTATTCTCAATACTATTTCCAATGATTTATCTATTACGGACGTGGCTTTTCCTGGAGTCACAATTTGTAGTCCCAAGGTGGTAAACATGGAGCGGGTGGAGCGCTTTGTCAATACGCTGTAGGTTTGAAAACCCTCATATTTTCAAGCTTCAACCCTGAAATATAATTTTTATAGCAACATTCCGCCTGAGTATGACATTAGCGATGTAATCGCCGGCTTTGAGTTTTTAAACGCATTCACGGACCAAAGCTTCCAGCCACCCCCCCACGAGAGCTATAAGATCACTGATGCCGTGCTAACAATCAACAATGTATCCACCTGGGAGGCTGCTTTAGCTGTCAGTCCCGGTTGCGCAGACTTCGTGAAGCGCTGCTTTTGGGGTTTTAGTGAATTCCCCTGCAATCAGAGTCATGAGTATTTATCCTTCATACCTACAACTGCCTACTTGGGTCCCTGCTGCTCCTTCAACTACAATCCTCGCAATACCAGCTTTGTACCCTTTTCGGCAAACATCTTCGGCATGGATGGGGGGCTAACCTTTATAGGCACCGAAGGCTCGGAGCGAAATCTGAGCACCGGCTTGATAGTCCTGGTGCACCATCCCATGGACTATGTCACGGAATCCGCTGCATCGGTCACTATAACTGCTGGTTCGGAGAGCTTTGTGGAGGTCTCGCCCACGGTCCAAAGCTCCTCGGCCGAGGTGTTAGAGCTGTCACAGCGTAAGCGGGATTGCCTCATCTCCGATGACGTGGAGCTTCGAAATTATCGGCAGGCAGCCTGCATGCTCTCCTGTCAGACGGAGGCCATATTCAGCCAGTGCGGATGTCATCCTTATCTGCTGCCCATTGTCAACGATAAATACAAGGAGTGCAATCTTAACGATACGTTTTGCTATTCAGATAACTACGGTACGTATGCGTGATGGTTTTGGTGTAGTTTGTCATTGTCAGACCGCAAGCGCTTAAGCAAAGTGAACGTGCTCTCATCCCCAAGTCCAGCCCCATTCCGCCACATCATGTCGGTTGCAATTTTTATGCTCAACCACACACACACACTCATGCAAATGACGACGTTGGCGCCTCGAGTCCGCTGCACTGTTTACTCGTGTTACATAATTTATATTAAATATTCAAGATATTCACGTGCTTGGTGTTCTGGTGTCTGCAGCAGACACCGCAGCAGCGTGTGTATATATACATATCTATACAAATGGCTGACATTCTTCATCAGGTTCTCCCATTAAGCTTGCTTTACTATGAAAATTCCTGACACTAAAATGTTCCTCCCCTGCAGATAACTTTAAGAGCGTCCGTTGCGATCAATGCCTACCAAATTGTTATGATGTGACCTACTCCACGCTATCCTATAAAACGGACTTAAACTTGCACCAGTACTCTGTCAGCAACCTATAGTAAGATAACATAGAATATAACAATGGATTTCCTTTAAATAGTCTCTTTTTAGTACGCCAGACTTGCTAACCAACGACAGCTTTGTGTTGCGCGTCTATTTGGCGAAGCAAGTAGTGCCTGCCATACGCAAAGTAACTGTCATGTCCTGGACCGGTCTGCTCTGTAGGTATATATAATGATCTACATTACTCAGCTTTACCTGGCTGCTTTTGTTTTGCAGCCGATTTGGGTGGCATTTTCAACTTGTGCCTGGGACTGAGCATGATTTCAATTGTGGAGTTCTTTTACTACTGCACATTTCGGTTGCACAAGAACTACAAATTACAAAAGGTTTTAGTGTCTAAGCAAGCGTGGCAATAGAAAACGTATTTGGGGAAATTTTTAATTTGCTTTTAGTCTTATTCTTATTTAAATTTTTTTTATATATCTACGGTTTTTTCTTTTTACTTTTGAGCTCTTGCTTAGGTGCTTTCCGTTTCTTTACCCCTTTTTCCTCAGACGCTTCGTCACCACTGTCCCTGTATAGAAGGAAACAAGTGAGAGATGGTAGCAACTTAAACAAATAACAAAATCTTACCCCACTGTTGGCATTGAATCAAACATGTTTTCATATTCATCATCTACGGGTGTTGCTTTGGGTTTGTTTTTGCTTCTGTGTTGTAGTTCTGCATCAATTTCCACCTCCTCATCACTATTACTAAGCTGTTCCTGCGATGACTCTTGGAATTGTCTGAGTAACACCTTAGTAGCCTTCGATTTCACATAACACTGGTAGAGCTGCACAGTAGATTCGGCGTCGTGGACGCGTACATAGCGATCCAAACAAGCCGAGCTCAGATATCTGCCTGTGGGATCCAAATGTAGGTCGCTTATACTGCCCGTAAAGCCTTTGTAGGTGTGTACATGAGTTTTCATGCGTCGTGTGTCAAAGGCCTGAATGAAAGAAACATTTTAGAAGTGCCAAGAAAAATACATACACGCAATCTATTCTACCTTCAATGCACCCATTGTTGTGCCTGTATAGATGTAGTTGCCTTGGGCTACCAGTGTTGCAAAGCTCATGCCGTGCTCCTCACTGGCAAAGTAGGAAACAGGGCGTCGCTGTTTGCGCGAATCATATACACGTACATAGCCTTTACGTGAGCATGTGGCTAAAACGTGTGGTCCCTCCAAGAAACCTATATCGCTGTCCCAAACAGGCACCTCCAGCTGTAAGAAGTCGTGGGGCACGTTCTTTGAGTTGAATATCAGTTTCCCCTCGGCATTCAAGTCGTAAACTTTAAGATTGTTCTGACGGGCCTTCCCACCACAGGCCACAATGTGAGGCGCAGTAGGACATTGACGCAAATGGTCCATGTGATCGCCAGTGCTAATAACAACGGGAGGAGTTACATCACCCTCAGTTATTGTATCAAGGTCTATGCTCTGTATCTGCCCATTGCCAATGCCCGCTATCAGATGACTCTTGCAACGCACCAAACCAACAATTGGTGCTCCATTAAAAGTGATCTGGCGCATTGAAGGTCCAGGAGCTAAGGAGTGTAATTCCGCGTTATTTTGGGCTCGTCCGAGCAAGATTTCTGTCTGCTCGTCATTGCCGAACGACAGTGCCGTTATGCGTGAGTCCTTACTAAGGTTGCTTAGTTCGCTAAGATTTGTTTGTGCGTAGGGGTTTTTCTCATTCCCGGTCTGCAAATCTGTAAATGCATGTAAAAAACAATTCATATTGAAGCAGCAAGCAACCAGCACGGCAGTAGGCTTACGTTTAAATGACCCTGTGTGTGTACCCACGAAAATTTCATGCTTGGCTGTGTAATTGGGGTGCTTCACATTTGCTGTAGTCCACTTCATTTCTTTAAAAAAGAAATACAAATCAACAAAAAAGCAGTAGAAACCACCTACAAAATTCAACACGTGCGGCTTTGGCTAAAGTGAGACCGCTTCGTAAATGTACCGAAATACTACTTTCAGAAATACCACTTTTGATGAGAAAAATACCACATTCAGTAGCGATGTGAGTTTGGTATACTACATTCAAATCATAACGATATGCATACCTACATACATATGTAAATAAGAAGGCAATATAAGCATAATAATTAAATAAGTTAATTTTGCAGCGGCAATCATAAAATTATCCTAATTAAAGGCTAAAATATCTTTGATTGATACATACGCATTTTAAAGCGAATTATTTGAAGTTATCTCAAGAATTAAATAGTATTGATTATTTTTAAATCTTTATTTTACACCATTAAACTTTAACCACTAACTGTTTAAAATATATTTGTTGTATGGTTAGTGCTTTCACTAAGTTTTACTGTAGTAGCAGCCAGTGTTACACAACGCAGGCGGATGAACCTATCAAGCACTGTTTACAAATCATCTGGACGATTCGTAACAACAAACTGCAACCTAAGTTCAATAGCGGTCTTTGTGTAATTCGAATGCATTAATAATGTCTCTGACGAAAGTTTACGACGCTGCAACAGTATTGAAACACTTAAATGGCATTATAAACGTCTACAAGCCCGCCGGGATGAAGGTGCATCAAGTACGAACTGCAATTTTGGCCAACATTTGCAAAGGTAGATACATAGATGATGGCAGATTAAATGTGCCTCGCTAGATTAAAAGTCTCTTTGCTAAAGGTCTAAACGAAATGAATGTGCGTGAGCCACGCAAATTGCCAGAAGAAATGCGGTTGCTTGGAACCGGCACAGCGGCAGACACCGTTCTACATAAAATATCCAGCGACACGGACTTGTCCGACCATGTGCTCGCTGCTGGCCCACGTTACATACCGCAAGACTGCCGAATTGCGCCTGTGGCCAGTCTTGGAGTGCACACCAGTGGGGTTTGTCGTAAGAATTTCTACAAACTGCCTATACATATGCAGTAACTAAATGTTATTAACATCTAACTAGTGTTTGGCCTTAACGCTGGACTGCGACAGTCCAGTCGCATTCAACGCAATCGACCAATCCGCATATACCACGTGACCGGCCGCATGGGTATAGCGACGGAAAGTCACCTGCCTGGCTCACATATAACGGTGCGTGCCAAGCATGGACATGTGTCAGCGGATCGCATTAGCGCACTTGCGTCGTCAATGCAAGCTTCACATCAGCGCAAAATGTACGAGCTGTGTGGGGTGGATCTTCAAACGCAGGCTGCCTACGAACTGGCATGCAAGGGTCCCCTACGTCCAACCAACAACAGCCAGCCAGTGATATATAGTCTCAAGCTCATACACTTCGAACGCCCAAACTTTACTTTGGAGGTGCATGCTATTAATGAGAGCGAGGACTACTTGGCTGCGTTAGTACACGACATGGCTCTGGAGCTGCGCACCGTGGCACACTGTGCTCAACTGCGTTGCATAAGACATGCCCATTTTGATGTAACCGACAGTCTGCTACGACATGGTTGGCATTTGCCGGGCATCATAAAGAACCTGCGTCAACAACGCGAGATTTTAAAATCGCATCCACAGCTACTGAATCAACAACGTGTAGACTTGTATGCAAATCAAAATACAGCGTAATATTTATTATAGTTTTAAATATACATTCAATGTTATTTTTTTTGGTTATAATCTACGCTGTGTGGCGGTCATGACTTTGCGCTACCATTAGCTTGTCCAGCTCAAAGACTTCTTTTTGTAGCTTCATGTACAACTTTCTACCTGCCACCGAGTCGTGCTCCTTCTCTAGAACTTCATGTGCCTCCATCAAACGAGCCCGAGCCTTTTCGAGAATGACCAAAGCCTGGGTTTGCTCCGATTGCCGGTTCGCCTGTTGTTCCAGGGCGTGTGCCATCTCAATGAGTATAACAGTAACATAGATGGCGAGTTTGATGCTATGGGGGTCTAGCCGTTGGCAGATATCGTACAATTCGTCGCACAGCCGCAACTTGCGATCTAGCTGCGCGTCGCTTAGCGACGCCAACTCCAAACCCACCTCATAGCCGTACAGTTGGATTAACGTGTGCTTCAGATTGAAAATATGAAAATGATTGGGATGCAGCATTTGCGAGAGGCGCGCCAGTAGCAGTTCCACTTGACTAGCCGTCGGCCGACCCGCCAGCAGTTTTTCCACGTCGTCGGACATATGCGTCTGCAAGCCGGTCACATAAGCAGTTTCTACAACCATGGGGCACGTGTCGCACTTCCATTGCGTGTGTTCGTTGAGCGGATCAATCGGAAGCTGTATGCCCGTGCACGTCTTATTGACATCGCCCAAGCAACGCAAAGCACTCACATAGCTGCCGAACTCGGTTGGATCCAGGCAGCGCGCGCAACGGCAGTTGAAGTGCTTAGTCATTCCAAGGTGATGCTGTCGCATATGCGTGCCCCACAAAATGTTTGTGTATGTGATTTTAAGGTGTTCGCCCTTCTTGATGTCACAGCCAGCGTGAACAGCAATCTGATGCGTGAGATTATCAAATTGGAAGTAGCAGTTTGGCTGGCAGTCATGCTCCATCATGCAGGCGTTGCGGAACAGGCCGCTTAGTTCCACTCCAGTGGCCAGTTCGATAACCATATAATTAGTCTCAATGATTCCACAAATACGATGAATCAGCTCTGGCTCGTATTCAGATATGAGGCGCTCTTTACAATGCTTAGCTACCTGATTGAGACGGTGCAGGAAATTACGATGCAAATAGCTTACAATCCGCTTCTCCACCTCTTGGTGCAGTTCGGTACCCTTACGCTCCTCTTCGTGCGATTGCATCTGAAGCAGCGCTGCCCAGCGCTCCGGCGCCTGGCGCTGCAGCAACAAGCACTTAAGAACCAGTAATGCATCCTCGCGGTAATAATTTCTCAAGCCCCTTGTATCCGATTTGGCCGCTGGTCCCTGACCCAGACTGAGTACTGTGCATTCCAGGCTCTCGTGCACGCAGTTCGCACTGCAGACGGGCCAACGGCACCTGCAACGACAAAGATCAGCTTTTATAGTAAACCCTTGTCTGAAGTGCCAGACAACGCGGAACCCCTATGCCAAGCAGTGTAAAGTTTCCAACTCTTCTATCTGATTCCCGGAGTAGTTGGAGTGCTCCAAAAGAAGTTTATGGAATATGTAATTCCAAAACCAACAATTTCCTACATCCAAATGTGGACATACCTGCGACACAAATGCTTGCCAAGGCGACAGGGCGTATAGCAAGCGACACAGGGCACGATAATGGAAGTTTTTTCTGTTTTAGACAGATACCACTTGGGCCCCACCACAATGGGGTCCTCGACAAATATAATCTGCTTTGCCTTTAGGTCCTGAGTGGCTACCAGGTAGCGGCCCAGCTGCTCATCTACTGCCTCGCGATACGGCTTGCAGCTCTTTTTATGCTGAGGCCAATGCTGTTTCTGATGCTCCCCATCGCAGTATCGGACCATTTTGCAGCGCGTGCAGGCGCGCGTGGCGGCCACACCGCAGACGGGGCAGTCGTGGCTCAGCATTCCGATTCTAACGGTTTAGGCTGTGGGTGTGGGCGTCAGCTCCTTCTATAGCAATACTTTTGAAAATTTAAGGGATAACTGATCTTTTCTCTACTTTTGCTGCCGTTATGCGACACAATATAAATTTTCTGATCTGATCAATTAGTGCGTTATATGCGTTTTGGTGTAATTTATTTTTAGCGCTTATTTCCAAACATTTTCTTCGCTCTGTGCTCACTCAGAATTTACTTTGCTCTCTTTAAATTGACGCGTAAGTCTCAGCGCACCAGGCACCAAAATTGAGTTCATATAGATTTCTGTATACAGGGTGCCCTTTAACTCGACATATCCAATATTAATTCCAACTTCCATGTGCATACATATGTAATTTAACTTCAAAAGCATACATACCATTTGTCATCCAATTTGCCACCAAATCAGAGTGTTAAAGGTCTTCTAAGCAACAATTATTTGGTACACAATCTATCGTTCGGTTAACCAAGAAATCTTCCTACTAGAAAGAAAATACTCACAAGTCTTTTCATTCGGACATTTGTGTCCATCTGCTCAGTATAATTACGAGTATACCCTGTGTACTTATATTAGTAGGTTTGGGCAAAGTATGCAATGATGCCTTCTACATGCATCTCCGATCAGTATAAGACGAGTCGATTTGAAAATGTCCGTCTGTCTGTCTGAAAACAAGGATCTCAGAATGTATAAGAGCTAGAATTACCAAAATTGGTATCCAGATTCTTCTAAATTCGAGAAAGGACAAGTTTGGTTTTTATAATCTGTACATGAAATGTACAAGAGCATACTTATTATGATCAGTATGAACACATCTTACAGACTATAAGAGATAGAAACACAACATTTTGCTCACAGATGCCCGCCACTTCCCCTTATAGAAGATTTCCAGAAACGCCGTTCTTATAATTATTTATATCTCAGAGACTAGAGGCACGAAATTTTAGTCCAAAATGCCTCATATGAATACGCAGAAAATCCCAGGCAATTCGTGATTTTCCATAACACCCGCAATTCTGAGAACTTGTTCACTCAAATTTGGCAAATACCTCCAGTTAGTGATTATGTGTCCGAGTTGTGGCCAAGTTCCATTTTGATTTGCCGGTTTTTAAGGAAGTTATAGCCATAAATGTAATCTCTGCCCGCAGCTGTTGTTGTTTTTGCTGCTTTGCACAAACACACACAGACACGCTCCTGCAATGGGTCCATATAACTCAGCGCCGTAAGTTTGTTTGGGTAAAAGGTATTTCACTGTCGGCCTTGCTCGACTGAAGCATTCGCTCCTATTTGTAGTATTATTTCGTCTTAGAGGATAACAACGTCCTTGAATACTTCGTGCTCTAAATCGCAAGGTAGCCGTGAGCAAAAAAAACCAAAAAGTTGAATTCGTACATATTTTGAAATGCCAAAAACTTGAACTTAACTAATCCAAGCGCAAATAAAGTTTACTAGAAGCCATACGATCAGAGACCAGAGGATATCGGTGCTAAGCTCTACGCTTGGTTGGTCTGCTCACAGGATCTTCTATAGCCCCAATAAGCCTATTAGCAATTAGGCATACCTCCGGATCCTATTAAAAATGTGTACAATTTTTTACGCGCGCTACACCTGATCCCCGGCCCTTACCTCAAGCCATGATCAATAGAGCTTTTTAAAAGGTTAAGCTGCTTCGGCATCAATGTGTCATCGACCAATGTATGTAGCCAGTGTCTTACCATTATCTGGCGGTTTTTAGTCAATCAATTAGGCTGGCAGACTATGACATCTTGAAGTCCATTTTGTTTCCATGTAATTCATTTTATTAACCCACAACTGAATTTGTTTTAGCTGTCATTTTTATTTAAGATCCGTGGAGTCTCTTAACAGTTAGCATACAAAACATAATTTAAAGTATTTTTTATTGTTTGTAAATAATTTAATTGTCTGGCCTATAATTGTGCATGTTCGATTGAAAACTATCGTGTTGTAACTATATGCTGAGTTCTGTATAAAATTTGTATGCTTTTAGTATGGCTCTTGCGGGGCGTCCAAGTCCCGGTAGTGTGATCTGGGGCGATAATCAAAACCACCGGGTCTGTAAAGCAACGAAAATGGAATTTAGAGAATAAGAATTATTTACGCAAATCGAGGTCGAAACAGAAACAAACATTTATTTTATATGTATGCATGGTAGATATATTTATAAACGTATCAAGCAAATGGTGTTTCAGTTTGTTTTTATCCAAATAGCTTTATGTGTTTGTCTCGGCAAAATACAATTGGCATATTGTACACAAAAATTGTCATTGTAATGTAGTTGCTTTTTCATTGCTTGAATTGCTTTTAAAACTGCAGCTCGAAATTCTAAAAATTGTGTTTTGTGTTTTGTATTTAGTCGAACATATCGGTATTAGCGGGCGCATCCAAATCATGGTAACCGATAAGGCGGCGTTGATGTTCCAAAGGCAATTCTCTGCAAAAAATTTGCGACACAAGAAAGTTGTGACAAATTTTGTTTAGACCATCAACAACATATGAAATCAAAATAAATGGGCAGGAAAACATATACAACAAACAATTAGGGGCGCGAAAGAGCATTATGGAAAAGTGTGCTCCATTTAGCATTTCTTTCCCGAGTTGCTTCGATTGGACAATATTTTTTTATAAAAAGCTTGATGCAAGACACCGTGAAACATTTGGGAGAACTGTGTCGATGAAGCGCTACCAAAGTAATACTACTTATTTTTAGGCATTTTAAAGATGGGAGGACAACTGTTTCCCAAGCATGAACGAGATTTAAAATATCTATTAAGAGATGTTCCTATGTGCCCTAAAACCAAGTGTAGCTTCTGTAAAATTCTATCGCGCTTACAGCTAAAGAAAATAGCAACAACAAGAAAAAATTTGGTGACTAACCTGCGTACTGGTGCGAAACCGCGTCCACCTCGGCCACCCATCATCGGTGGTGCAAAGCCATAGGGCATGGCTGAAAATGGAGGATACATAGGTGGGCGAAAACTATAAGAGAAAAGAAAAGTGAGTATTTATTGCAACTTTTACTTCTCTTACAGGTAAGGCCTTACCCGCTTCCTCCTCGCACTCCATCTGCTTCGGGGCGTTTCGTTGTGCCAGGATGTTCTGGCAGCTGTGGGCGCTTGGGATCGCGCAAATAGTTATTGAAATATTGCACTTCCTTACGAACCTCGTCCACCTTCTCCTCATGCTTGTTAAAAATGTGCTTGCGTATAAACTCGGGTCCCTTAAATTTCTTGCCCGACAGTGGACAAAGCCACTTGTCTTTTGCCAGCTCCTGGGTATTGGCCTGCACGAACTTTTCAACCTCGGTTTCGGCATCTTTGGAGCCCAGATCCTTGATCTCATCGTCGCTGAGCAACACAATCTTGGTCAAAAATTGCTGCAGTTTTCCTTCGTACGCTTTATTGTACTCCTGCACATCGTTGTTGGTCACCCGAAGGGGCGCGGGCCCGCGGGCATGAATGATACCACAGCGATTAGGCATCTCGTCCTCGTAGGGATATTCGCAATGATTATAGTAGTCCACAGAATGCACGATGCGCAAGTAGAGCACCAACCGATCGAGCACAGCTAGCAGCTGCTCGTCGCGCTCAATGGGCTCGCCCTCCGCATCTTTGCTGTCGCCCGCCAGACCAAGCAGCTCTTCTTCCTCGGCCGACGCCTCTTCGATCAAGTAGTCCGTAATATTTTGCAGAACTGGATTCTTGGTGTTAAAGCCATACCTTGCACTGCCAGCGACGTTACTGCCGTTCTTTGCACTTTCACCTACAATAGTCTGCGTCGTTGTATCTTCCGCGGCTGGATCGCTCCACAACTTGAAGCGCTCGTCCAAATTCATGGCTATCTTCGCGCATAGTTTAATGTCGGCACGCACAACTTGTTTATGGGCCGTAATTCCATTGGCTGGACGAACACGACGGCTCAGATCGCGGTTGACAATGGCCCCCATTTCGCAGTCACGTAAACGCTGATTGTTCAGGCTCCAGCAAATCTCCTTAATGTTAACATCACGCGTAAACGTAATCCAACCACGTCGGTACCAACGACGCTCCACTAATGGGTCCGCAATAGCAACTCGGAGGTAGCCGGCGAAGCGCGTGCAGATCGCCTCGATTTCTGCCTTGGTAATCGAAGGCGCCAAGTTTCGAAGAAAGATGGACGAGGTGCGATGCAACGCACGAGGATGTGGGCCATCTTTTAGCTTGTCGACGTCGATTGGTTCGTTTTCGTCGTTGTTGGTCGACTTTGGCGGTTCATCGGCAGAAGTCTCGTTAGTTTCTGATTTGGCAGACTCCGTATTGTCTGTCTGTTCATTTGTGTCCATTTGATTCTCTTCTTTTGCATCCTTTTCTCCCTCTGTTATGACTTCGGTTTCAGTGCTGTTTTCGCCTAAGTCGCTTTTTATGTCAGCTTTAGCAGTATCCATTGATTTTGTGGTCTCCTTGGCCGTTTCTTCATCTACATCTTTAGGCACGGGTTTTATGTCAGCTCTATCCTTTTCCATCTCTGCCTTTTGTTCTGCTCTAAGTCCATCCTCCACATCGTACTTGTCTTTGAGTTTTTGCTCGTCTTCTTCATCATCGGAACTTATATTGGAATCTGAATCAGAAGAGGATACGCTATCATCATTGGAACTTTTGCGCTTGCGTTTCTTGGTCTTCTTTCTTTTTATATCTTTGGTGCTTTCTGTGCCACTGCCATCGTCTCCCTTCGTCGACTCAGCTTTATCATCAATGAGGTTGTCCTGCTCCTTTGTCTGGTTTTTGGTCGGCGCCGGCACATCGTCATCCCAATTTTCCTCATCGGATCCCATTGGAACTGGATTTAAATGAGGTGACAAAGGTTTAGAAAAATCTTTGTCATTCTCTATGCTGTCTTTTTTGGTGCGCTCTTCTTTGGGCTTGATTTGCGGCTCAGCGGGTTCTGTTTTACGCTCGTACACCAGCGGCTCCTTGGGTTTTTCATCAAGAACTTTAAGATCCTCATCAGTTCCACCTTCTAGTTTGATCACACAAACGTCCAACACACGGACCAATGCTTCGCCCTGTGAGGAGTCGACCTTCACATTGTCAATGGTGCCGTTTTCCAGAAGTTCTACAAATACTTCGGTGCGTTTCTGCAACGAAAAACAAAGTTCTGAGACCATATTAAAGTGTAAACTTAAAAATCACACCTTTAAAAAGCCGCGCTGTTCCTCGCTTCGTCGCAAACTGTCTTCGGGATGATATTTGTTTTTGAACCTGCGAAAGAGCAAAAAGCCGTGCATGAGCGATTAATGGGATAGCCTTTGTTAAACACTGCAAATAACAAATATTTTTTAAACACATGTATGTAGTGATGTTCGTATGGCAATTGGCATTTCTAGAACATTCCGCACCTCCTGTTTGCTATTTTTCAGTAATTTTAATGATTAGTTGTTATTATAGCTTTTTATTTTTGCACATGTGACCCAGTCTTACCTTTGCAATCGTTTTCATATGTACATGTGTATTCTTTTATAATAGTTAAGTGTTTGGTATTTGGACTCATTCGAATTTAAATAAAACGCGGTTTCAAAATACAACACCCACGGCATTGCTCGCCGGGTAATTTAAAATTATTAAATGATCAATCAATAGTTCTGCAGTTCAGCGCAACGGCTAACAATCTTGCTCTCTACAAATGGGGCTACGGATTGTTGCCAACGCCACCGGCGTTTCGCACGAGATTTTATGAACGTTTGCATCATGCCACAAACGCAACAAGCTGCAGAGAAAAACTTAATATACATAGTTATGATTTCAGTTGAATTCAAGAAATGCGCAGAGAAATTCAATTGAGACGCAGAGAAATAAAACAAAAATTATGAGTTAATTAACATCGTCGGCTGCCCAACCCTGTGGAAAAACTAACCCGACTGAAGGACAACACTCACCATTCCTCGTCCTTGTGCGCCACAAAGAACTCATTCAGCTGCTGGCGCTTAAAGTCTGTCTTGTATTCGGTGTACTTGCGCATCACTTCCGAGTCTGAAATGCCCTCATCCTGGGTGTCCAAAAACTGTTTTAGCGACAGCATAGCCGGCTGTGTTAGTGTATCGCTGTTGCTTCCAGCCGTATCGCGCGATGGTGGGCCATGTCCAGGATGAGGATATGCTGATTGCAGCGACTGGTAATGATCGTTCCAAGCCTGCATGAGATAGGGATCGTAGCCTGCAACAAAGCCGGTAAGTAAAATATGTCCATAGAAAGTCGCTGCCAGTATAAACTTACCACCAAATCGGTGATTGGGGCGCATTTCACTATCGCCCCAGTCGGGTCGCATGCGCTTTGCTGGCGGCATATCTCGGCCGGGTGAGCTATAGCGCGGGCGTGGTCCTGGCCCCCGGTAGTCGCTATAATCGGGGCGATGGCGTGCGCCGCCCCCACCACCACTGGACGCAGCAGCTCCACGGAACGGATTGCTGTATAACAAAGCGTGCAGTGACCATTTAGCAGTGTATTACAACGCATAATAATTAACACTTACCGTTCTGCCCAATCGTCGCGTGCACTGCTACTGTTTATTGGCCGCCGCTCGTCACGCCTTTCTGGTCGATAGCTATCGCTGCGCTCGCCACGGAATTTATCACGCCGCTTGCGGTCGTACTCATCGTCCGAATCAGCCATTGTAAGTCACCTGAAAATGCAATTTCATAAAAACATTGTACGTACGCATATGTATGTATGTATATGTAATATTTATTGTCTTCCAATCGAGTGAAAGCTGTGAAAGAGGCTGTGGTACTGGTGGCGAACTACGGCAATTAACGCAATATAACCTGATACTAAACTTTGGTACAGTATTGACGCATTTTAGATGTGGATAAACTTTCAATTCATTTTGTTTTTTATGCAAGAAAAACCGAGAAAAGTTGCCACTGCCGCCATCTTGCCAACTCGAGTACCGGGTATGTACAAACAACCCTTACGTGCTATATTTCACCACTTTGCAACTGAAAATTATGGAAACTGAGAAAAACTTTTTTAAAATGTGCACGTACTTTATTTTAAATGAATTTATAAAGTTATTTTTTGCAACCTCACCTATTTAGAGTGTGCGTGTAGATCTGTATCGAAAAAAAGCCGATAAATAGTGTGGCCAGTTCAGTGAAAATGCCAAAATACTGAAACACAATGCCGCCGGCTTATCCACCTAATATACCACATGGTCGGAGTTATCGCAATGTCAAGTTGCTACCAACGTTCAAATTCAAATACTAAAACTCACCACATTCGGATTTATACAAGATTTAGAAATATAAATAATAGTTGACTAAATACCGGTAGGTACAGACAGTTTGAGCTCAGCATCCACTGAAACTGCTTTTTATATTATAAACAACGCCATTTATTATAAACAACGCCTTTGTAACGGTTTTGAAAAAAAGGACCTAGTAACCTATTATGAAACTGTAAGCGCAAATGTTATGTCTAAAATGTTTTGGAAACCACAGCGAAGTGAATTATTTGACATGTGGTACACGCCTGCTTGCGGTGAATACAAAAGATGCACCAAATTATTAAAGTTACCACCCTCTACTGATGCGGTGCTGGCAGATCTGGCAGTATCAAGTATCATATTTCTGCGTATATATAAACCTCATTCTGTTTTTACATGGTAGATTGGTTCCAGCAAAATTCGTGTAGTCGTTTTTGTGCGCTTAAAGGGATACTTAAATACTTTATACACCGATTAATGTTTTAGAAAAAGTGTCCGCCGAAGAGGGTTTCCGGATAAAAGAGGTGTCCATTAAGGGAGTTTTCACTGTATTAGGTTTGCGGGAGGTGAAAAATGTAACAGGCAGAAGGAGACTTGGCACACCCCACAAAGTAAATATATTGTGAATCAGCATGAGAAGACGAGTCGATCTAGCCCTGTCTGCCTGCCTGTCCGTTCGTCTGTCCATCCGTCCGTCCGTATCTGTATCCTGTATCCTCAGAGACTATAAGAGCTAGAATAACGGTACGAAAGGTTACAGATTGTGTGCAGATTTTGTTTTTCTGGCTGCAAAACGATATTGCTAATATTCCGTACGAATTGGGAGAGTCCACATTCATATGCTACTATCCTTTTGCGAGTAACGCCTCATGTCGTGCCATACGTCCGTGAAAATATATCTGTGCGGATGCTAAATAAAGATTTCATGTAAAGAGGCCAATTACAACTGTGAAGGATTCGATGAAAGACAATGAAATCCACAGATACGCATTTCTTGAACATATTTTAAATATATATTTTTATTTTATTACACATTTTCATATATCGTATATATGTATATAGACTTTTCTGCAGTATTTATATTTATTTACAACTTATGTAGCTTTAAAACTATGTAAAGTGTATGTATTGTTGTTGTTGTGCAAGTCTAGGACTATGTAGACTTGTTGTTATTGTTGTTAATATAGGTATGTATATTAAATTTCAAAAATGTACTTCCATATGAATTCATTATTTATTTGTTATTATTATTATTGTTATTATTATTATTATTATTATTATTATTATTATTATTATTATTATTATTATTATTATTATTATTATTATTATTATTATTATTATTATTATTTTATTTTCTCTGCTTCCGTTATTGTGCTCCACCCCGCGTTGCTATTGCTCGGATCGGCGAGTACAGTAGCGTCGCACATTAAGTTACATATGTACTTATACTCGTAGACTCGTATATTTTTAAATTTTTGTATGTACGTGTATGCATGCCTGTATGTTTTATGTTGAACATAGCGCAAGTAGGTTACATAGTTATACAAATTCATGAACATAGTGGTAAGTGTCAAGTATAAAATTGTTTCTTTGTTCGTTTCTTTTTAAGGTAAGGTTGTTTTTATCAATTAATCAATTACTAAGATACAGATACACACAAGAACGAAGGGCCTCCAAAAACAAATTTAAGTTTCGTATCGCTCCGTACGCGAGTCTGTGTTGTACTTAAAGACTTATTTATAGACGAATGCACCAAAGTGAGTTCTGAAAACAACATGCGAACCCTATACACACGGCCTTCCCCAATTCAATAATTATATCATCATGTAATAATAATTAGTAGCAAGTATAATTAATTGTAATTTTTTTGTTAAGTTTTTTCTGAGTTTTTTCGTACCATTCGTACCATTTAAATGCTAACAATCTCTACATTCTCTCTCATGGTAATGAATATCTGTACGAGTTTGCATTAAGCTGGAATTTCCACAGATAAACGAAGTATACATGTACCACATATACTTGTATAGTATGTTATGTATATATGGGAGTGTATATGCAGGTGTGTGCGGAAAAAATGCAGATGTACACCTATAAGTAGAGTAGGCACGAGCTAAGAATAAACACAAATTTTCTGGCAGTGTAGCACTTAAAGAAATACGAGCAGCACTATGCAACAAAGAAAACATATCAAAATGGTCTGATATAGAACAAAAATTGGCAGCTTCTTCTTTTGTCTTTGTTGGTGTTTTATTGATAGGCAATATAATTATTTTTTCAAATGTTTGTTAAATATTTCATGATGTTCCCACTTATCGATTTTCTTTATACTATACTACTACTCAGCCAAGTTGCGCAGTGTAATTGAAGAGTGTCAATTGCAGCTGCACAATAATCCTTTTTGCTATCGCTTTCTATTTCGTTGTTGAAGCCAACAAAACGCTACTGAAGTGAAAACTCTGTCTCCCTAATTACGTATTATCTGCGTGTTCTGGATTCTATATGTATTGCTGATGTTGGTAATCTATTGTTTCTCATACCCTAAAATGCATAAATTCAGTTGAGTTGAGTCGTATTCGATTTCGCCTCTTTTTCAAATAAATTTACTCTAACGGCTTTGAAAAATGTGCGTTGTTATGCATATATGTATGCACGAATGTATATTTGTTTTTTAATATATAAACACGAACTGTAATTTAGTAAGTTTATTGTGTGTTATCGGTATTACTATATAAGTATTGTATGTATGTATAATACTGATTGCTACGCATTGCAAATGAAATTTCACTTTTGTTTCATGCTACCCTAAGTTTTAAAAATGGCTGCAAAGTATTGCGAACATTTGTAAGGTTTTATGTGTGTGTGTGTGTGTGTCTGATTATTTATCTGATTTTCCAAATTTGGCAGTGAAAATAACTACACAACTTAAAGGCTGCATATGTATGTAAGTATCTTTGTATTTATGGATGTCGACTAGCGATCTGAAATTACTGTTGCGAAAGGCCTTTTCACAAATGTTCACAAATACATACATACATAGTAAGTATGCATGTGTTTATGTGTGTGTGTGAATGGTGTGGGGTATTAAGCCTATCCAGTGATTTGTTACCTGCTAATCGAATTTCTGCAGAACAGGTACCTCTATAAAAGGCTCTAGGAGTTCTCTTCTGTGGCTCCAAAAATTAATTTGTTCGGGGTAGGGGGGATCTGGTGCGCTTGGTTGGTATGGAAATTTCGAAATTTCAGAGTATATTTGTTCTTTACGCTGCTGCTAAGGTCTCGCTTGTAGTTATGTTTATTAATAATGCTCAAAACCTTTCTTAATGTTTCATTTTATTTACGTTTCGTTGAGGTAGTTTTCAATTCAGGATCAATATCTACAAGTTGAACACAAAAGTTAATGCGTTTCATGTACTTTCATTCAATTTTGTTTCAGGGCTGGCCGTCGATTCAGTGAACGGGGACTCCCCGTCACTGCCCCAACATGCCGTGTCTAATCTTTATTATGTGGATAGGGGCAAAACAAGTTACACATAACAGAAAACAGTGCATAAAAATCAAACAGGTTGTCATCTCCATCTTTTGTCATCCCTTGAGTTCCAGAAATCTACATAACGATTTGTTATCTTAGCTTTGTCTTCTATATGCATGGATTTTCAACAACTTTCGCTTATATTAATTATCTTATTTTTGTTCAGGTTGCTTTTTTGTATTTTTGTTTTTCGTATGTGTTTCTTTGTTTGTTTGTCATTTTCTCATTCTCATCGTACATCTGAGTGGTGCTGTGTGTAGGGCGAGACTACATATGTATATATAGTATGTACATATATATACATGCATATACAGGTCGGCTTAGGTATATGACATTCAATAAAGCGCAAGGTATTTAATGTGGTTTCTTATATTTAAGTATGTATATATGTAGATACAGGATACCCGGTACTGGGAACAGGTCTGTCTAAAACCGGAGAGGGAAAACGTTCAGCGAGCGAGGGCGCGAGGACTCTATGTATTTATAAAAACTATTACAATGCTATAATATACATATTCTTACTTAATGTTTGAAATGGGCAGCTTAGCAATATTACGTAAATATTCCGAAACTGAGTGAAGCTTCCTCGATTACGTTACGTTAATTAGCTTATGGGGGTATATATATTTATTATTATTAATTGTATTCTAATTTTATATTGGCATTAATTAACATTTAAGGTAAGATTAGAAAATTATTTGATTTAAGCTATTTTATAGCGCCTTTTACTCTCATTTTTCGCGTAGATTCAAGCCCTAACTTAATCAATCATTTATTTATTTCATTCCTCCCTTATCATGTCACACCTAATTTTGTTTCACTTCACTTCAAAAGCCAATTTCACAGCCATTTGCTTTTCGTATGCCATTAATTTTCAAGTTCTGATTCGCAATTTAAGTCGGTCTTCAATATCTAGCGCCTAAAACTAACGAGTCTTTGCATATCTCTTCTAATTTTTCGCATTCAGAAAGAACAAAAACAGAAACCATTAAATAAATCAATAACAATATTAAAAATTCCTTTCGGTCTGCGCCCATTTCCGTATAAAGTGAGTTGGTTTGTTCCAAAGCGTTTCAAATAAAAATAAATGTGTTGCTTGGAATTGGAACAGAATTATATGAAGTGCAGCATACTTTTGGGGTTCGCGTTAAATGACTCGGATACACACCTTAAACGGGAGTATGTTCTTTGAAAATTAAAACGACATTTAACGGAAATGGGAGCAGCTGGTTTCCGCTTATATTAATCGGAATGGGGAACATGGCCGATTATTATAAACTTTGTAAAAAAATAAAAAGACTGATTCTTCAAGTGTTTTTTCATTCAACATATTTTCAAATATATTGTTATATTTTGTTTGCATCTCGCATTTATGTAAAATATTAAAAATTACTTACATTTTATGATAAACCTTGTTTTTACATTAACGGTAAAACTACAAAACAAACTATGCATGTATAATGTTTGTAAAAAGCGCCCTAAGCGCACTACAAATTAGTCTTAAATACATAAACTGATAGAAACTTAAGAATGAGTTGTGTTTGGGTTTGTGGTTGGGGTTGGGTTTGGTTTTGGGATTGGGTTTCGGATCTCCTCCTTCATCGTCTAGTAGTATTTCATTTAAATATGATCTTTAAAATATTCACTGATTTTGTTTCGCTTAGATTCCGTTTTAAATAATTAATTTATGTGAAGGTGTAATTTTTATTTAGTTGCTTCATTCTTTTAACTAGCAATTTCTTTTTAAAGCAATGTCGCTCTCAGACCCTAACGATTAGTTAATGTATATCGTTTATTTTCACTTTTTACAAATGACTTAAAGCAACAATTCAATAAAAAATTCATGTATATAATTTAAATTTAAGTGTGTGTGTGTGGGGGGTTTTGTTTATGTGCTTGTGTGAAAATAATGCTTAGTCACCTTAATTAAATAATAATAATAATAATGATAATAATAATAATAAGAATTGCACAATTCAAGTTGAAAGCTACACAATAATTCGCATTTAAAATAAAATTATATAAATGTAACAAAACTATTTGTATTTCTAAACAATTAGAGTTTGCGTGTGTTTGCTGTTTTGTTTTTGTTTTTTTTTTTTTACAATAGGCTCCTAAAATAAAAGAATCTCCCCTAGGGTTACAATACATTTCATTTAAGTTTAAATAAGGCCAACAGTTTTTAAGAAAATCATTTTCAAAACCAAATTGCTTACAATTTTGTTAAACATAATTATAATTTGTATCCCAAGGTTAAAAAAGAAACATTGCGAATATTATTTTGCACTTCTGTCGTTTGTCTTACGTGAAAATTTTGATTTGCCAATTTTATTTGCTAAAATTTAATTAAATTTAATTTTGAATTAAGATTTTAATTTCTAAATAAATATTGAAGTCTTTTGGTGTTCGTATGTGTGTTTTTTGTGTTCTGTGTCGGTGTGTGTCGGTGTATTTGTGTGTGTGTGTGTTAGTGGGTGTGTGTGTGTGTGTGTCAAGTGATTGAAAACTGTTTGTCAGCAAAAATCGTGCACTACGTATCGCGATTATAGTTAATACCTTGAATGCCATGCTTGTTTTTATTTAGTTATTTGTATTTTTTTGAGTAAAACTCCAATCACTTTTGTTGTTGTTTGTTAAATTTCGTTATAAAAAACGTTGAAAAAATGCCTATAAATGACGCCAATACTCATGCCAAAATATAAATTTTGTTTTTAGCTTAGTTAAAAGGAAAAAAAAAACAAACAAATTATAGAAAATTGTATAAAAACGTCGGCGCTTACAATTTAAATTCCCTTTCTCAATGTTTTTCGTTTAGGTTTTGTTTAAAAAATATAAGGAGGGCATAATAAAAATATGTCGTTTGTTTTTTGTTTTGTTTTGTTTACAATTTCTTTTTACAGTATTGTTTATGATTAAAAAATATTTATAAAATCAGTCCAAGTTTTGCGTGTTTCTTTTTATAATTTGTTTTGTTAGATTAAAGTTGTTTAGAGCTCGCTTAAATTATTTTTAACTCATCAATGTATTTATTTGTTTCCATGCCTTTCAACAGTTAGACGTGATCCAGCTGAATCGGGTGTACAGTTAAGATTTAAATATTATACAGTTGTTTTTGGGGTTATACTCGTATATAATAACATTAGTAAGTGTGGGTGTGTGTGTGTCTGTGTGTCTGTGTTTTTTTATATTTTTAAAATATAAACAATCTTTATTCTCTTCTTCTGTTCTGCGTTGAATTTGTTGTTGCGGCGTTGCCGATCTTTGAAATCGTGCAAGAACATGCGTGTACGAACGAATGGAACTTCGAAACGGAAAATAATGTATGGATTATTTGATGTTAGCGTTAGGGTTTGTTTAATGAGCTGCTTCAATTGAGTTTTTCATATTTAAATTTTTCTGTTTTTCTGTTTTGTTGTTGGATTCATTTTTCTTTTAAATACATACATAAGTATATGCATGTACGTGTATGTAATTATTAATTGATTATATTTATCGTAGTTATCGTACGCATAGTCATTAAACGCTAATATTTGCAGACTTAGGACTAAATAACTGCATTTTACGATTCTTGACAGATTTTTAAAAACATTTTTTTTTTCAAACATTTTCTTGTTTTCTTTGTTTAGTTGTATGTGTGTGTGTTTTGTTTTTGTTGCACTTTTGCGCTTGACGCAGAATTCTGTTCAAAGCATGCAGATTCAGTGACAAAAGGCTATATATATATATAGGTGTGTGTGTGTGTGTGTGTCAGCTGCCACTTTCAACAAACATTTGCTCACTCACTCGGCCCACATCATTCAATCACGCTGCCAAGCAGCACACCCCCCACACCCCCGCACAAGCCCTCGTGCAACGCTAGCGACGTCAACACCAAGGGCTATGCCGTCGTCGAATGCTCCGACTTGACCGCCACTCCGCCAATGAGCTGCTCCTGATGCAGTGGCACGCCCATTAGCGCCATCGCCTGATTGTACATGTTCACGTTGGCCCCGCCCCCATTTGCCACGGCCGCGGTGGTCGAGCTGGCCGGGACCGCCGCCGTAATGCTGGTGGAAGAGGTCGCAGCCGCTGTCGTCGGCCCCATCGCGCCGCCCCCGCCGATGTAGTCGCTGCTCGTGCTTACCGCTGAGACGGAGGCAGTCGGAGGCGCCAGCGTGTGAACGGGATGGTGGTGATGCTGCTGCTGCTGCTGTTGCTGCTGCTGTTGTTGTTGCTGTTGCTGCTGCTGCTGCTGTTGGAGTTGAGCGGCTTGCGCCGCCTGGGCGGCTTGAGCGGCGTGCGCCGCTTGGGCTGAGGTGGAGGCTGAGTCTGCATCCAGGCCAGCTTGTATTGCACCGCCGACTGCGCCGCGCATGCGTTCCGCCCTCTCCGCTGCACGTTCCTGCTCCTCCTGCTGGGCCTGGAGGTGAGATTGAACGGAGGGGGGTATGGCGTGGACGTCCCAGATCTCCTCGAGGAACTTGGGCAGCTTGCGGTTCTTGAGTTTCAGCGAGAAGCACATCTCAGCGTTCTGGTTGCCCAGGGTGCGCAGTTCTGTGAGTATGGAGAGGAGTTTGGCGTAGAAGACGAGACTCATGGAGTCGCCGCAGTGGCGATTGAGTATATAAATGCGTAGCGTGTCGATGTAATAGCTCTGAATTGCCTCGACTAGTTGCGCCTTCTCCAGGCCCGGCCGATCCGAGAAGATCACAATGGCAGTGAGTAGCGCGTATTCGACATTGTCCACCTTCATTGAGAACATTTGACGGCAGAAGTGCAGCAGGTCTTCGATATTGTCGGCCATGCCGGCCATTTTGTACGAGTCGCGTGTGTAGGAGCGGTTGTTGGCGAAGAAAATGGAATCCGAATTGTGATCGTAGCGCCGGGCCATACGCAACATCATGACCTCCGATGAGCAGGCCTGCGAACAAAGCAAGGTAATCATTAAATCAACAGTTATCTCATCTGATAGGGATATCTTAGCCTTTCTCTATGTCACATGGCTTTTGGGAAACAGTTAGTGGATAAAGCATAAAATAGGTGAACATCCCTCTTACCTTCAGTAACGTGATTTGATCCTCTTGCGGTATTTTTGTAAACGCTGGTAGTCCCTTTGCAAATTCCACAATCAACTGCACTGTGAGTATAGTGATCTCGGTAATGTGCCGAAAACTGACGTCTGTCTGACTTTCATTCTCATCGGGTTGACTCTGCAGGGTAGGGTCTGGAGTTAGTTGGTTCTTAGTGAGATGCTCGCTGGCCGACAACTTACCATAATGCGCTTGAGATCTTCTTCGGACGGCTGCTCGTAGCCATCCTGATACCAAATAAGCTTATAGATAACGGCCAGTTGATTGTACGTTAATGGAGGTATATTGCGCGCTTGACACTTGGCCAAAATATCATCAGGTAGTAGCTGTAAAAATCAGCAACAGAATCAGTTAAGTAGTTCCTCTTCAACAGATATAAGGTAGCCTTGGCTAAATGTATATATTTAATTAATTATCTGACATCTTCGGTGCCCCATAAGGGGAAGTCGATCTGACCTTTCCATAAACAGAGTTAGTTTCTGATATCCCGGGCCTCCACTCAATTCCCTTATTTACTACTACTTATAGTCGAGTTAGGCAGGGAGAACCAAGATCTTATTGATCTGAAAAAGCCCTCCTTGCAATTGGATTATGTCTACCTACACCTTAATTGTTATTATTCGTTGAACATTTTTCGCATTTTAGGCGTGGGCAACAGTTTTTGAACCAGTTTCAAGCGGACTGCACTTTTATGATCTTACCGGAATTGTTGCATGTTGCGGCGGATCGCAGGTCATCAACTCCAGGATCTCCTTCTTCACGTAGTCGTGCGTGCCGTGATTGGAGCCGGGCGACGTCGTCACCTTGTCCTTCTCCTTCTGCGCCTTTTTCTCGCGTCGCTTCATCGCGCACTGGTTCTCGGGCACCACACATTCCGGCCGCATGCCCACGGCGAGGCACTTTTTCAGTCTGCACTCCTGGCACTTCCGGCGCATGTACATGTCCATCTCGCAGGCTCGTCCGAACTTGCAACAGTAGACTGCGTTCTTCGTAACGCTTCGCCGGAAGAAACCCTTGCAGCCCTCGCAGGTGAGCGCATTGTAGTGGTAGCCGGAGGCCCGATCCCCGCAGACGAGGCACAGCTCCTCTTGAAGCCGCGGAGCCGGCCCCTTCTTGCTCTTTTTCGCATCGCAGCCCTCGTTCGCAGAATACCCGTTGAGACTGCTCGAGGGCGAGAGATCATCGCGACCTGCAAGAGAGAAGTTGAGAGAATTCGTGTTATTTTTTTGCACTTCTTTTGTTTTCTATTTGAATGCTGTCTTTTTTGTTTTTGCGATTTCCGTGAATTTTTAATATGTTGCTTGTTCTTGCGGTCTTACATAAAACATTAGACCCAAATAAATAAATTTTCATGCCCATTTTTTGCTGCCTTGTTCTCCTGCTGTCTTGTTGTTCGTGTTCTTGTTTCAGATTCTTCTAAGACGATCTTTCTGCTGGATTTGCATATGCGTTTTGCACAAAGTCTCCCAACTTCGGCTCACAAAATACCAGCTACAGAGTCTGTACGCACATACATACATATGTACATAAATATGGATGTGTCGTGTATACTTGTATATGTTGTAGTATCTGTACCTACAACCACTAGCTCGACGTCAGCCGTTTCGCAAAGAGAATCGAGCGCGCGAAATAGTCGCAAAAAAGCGCTACGCGAACAAATTATAAATTCAATTAACGTTCGCTCAAAGTCGCGCATAAGTGGGGGACGCAAACGCAAATCATTTCGAATGTGGTGGCAAAGCAAACGAGTTACAAAAAACAAAACTGAGCAAAATAAAATATACCTCCATAAGACTACACTACAGAGAAGAACACGAGTTCGACACAGTTCAGATTTGTTTGCACTTGGAGATTCGCCTGCAAATCGTCCGATTCAAATAGAATCGATTACCAATTATTTGAATGACAAACTAGAAGCCGAGAATAAAGCTGGTAGCTTACCACACTAGCATCTAAAGCAAAAGAACTCCATAGTACTAACGATTACAGAATTAGGGGTTAATAGCTACGAACATATTGAGATGAAATCTGATAAAAGTGAAAATACTGAGCGAGAACTACTTAGTAACATAGATATTGGAAATATATATCGATTTTGTGAAATTATGGAGGAATCAGATATTCGCAGTTCCATCGAATGTACAAGTAATATACTTGTATCAGTATATGTATTTATGGTAACATCAATATAATTTGACATACTTTGAATCATTTTCAGGGGGTCTTGATCGATGAAACATCACTAGGGATCATTAGGGATCGATCGAAATTAATCCTAAACTTAACCAAAAATGCAGAGTTGGTTTGCTTTATACTACAAGTATATGATGAGAAAGAGCGTCGTACTTTCTCAATTCCCGAATGGAAAATTTGGGTCTAACACCCAAGTTAAATATTTAAATCATTAAATTGATTGAACAATCGTGTAATAAGAGACTTCACCCAAAATTATGGAACCATTAAGGATGGAATTCGTTTTTTCTATCATAATTGACTTTAGTTCAAGAGAGTTTTTGAGAAACTGACAATATGCAATACATATTTTTCTGGTGATGTTGGGTCCTAACGGTAGATTATAGCCGTAACGGATTATCGTCTATGTGGGCGTTACTCTTGTTCTCGTCTCTCTGGTTGTTGTTGTTGTGGCTGCAGTTACTGCTGTTGTCGCCTGCAACACACGCATTATACAAATAGTCACGTTCGCGACATATAGACAATGCGTTGTGGGCGACAAGAATGAAAAGAATATCAAGTGCAATGTAGTATTGTTGTTGTGGCTCATGTAGTTGTACAAAGGCGGTAAGTATCGTGGAATGGCAGTGAGTGTCGAGCTCGTGTGTTTCGGTGGCGCATAAGTAGATAAAAAGATACGCCAACGAGGCAGCAACAGCAACAATAACAGCAACAACAACAACAGTGGCAAAAGAGGAGGGGTGAGGAGAAGGACGCGTCCATTCAGCTTAAGACCAAGACATAGAGGTACTTGACTATGAAGCCAAAGCGCGGCTAAGACGCAGAACCCCACTCAGCCACAAGTGCAAAAGCTGCCCACGCCAAAGCCAAGCAACCGCCCTCTACGTGGGCCCCCTTGTCCCTCAACGAATGCAGCTTAAGTGCAACGTGGTGCATTGTCGGCATAACACAGTTTCATGCCGCCAGCCACTTTCCCAACAGAGCCGTCAGCATGCTATAAAATATTACTCATACGCCATGCCTGCCGCACCACTACTTTCCCTCCTTCGATGCCTCGTGCCCGTTTCACGCTGCCATCGTCTCTGGCTTTTCAATTTCACTGCCAGCGCAGGCAAAATGTGAAAATAAAAGAAATGAAAACAAAATAAAATCAACTTCAGCGTCATGCAAACTTTGTCTGCTTCAGCGACGATGCCAACATGACTGCATTTTCGCTGCAATGTGGACGAGTGTGTGTGGCGTCTGGGGTGTGGACATGAAGTTGTACGACCATGCAACAAAGTATGTGTACAAGCATACCTACCTATATACATACATACCTATTTAACCGGCTGTGCAGGCGCGGAGCAACTCGCATGGAAAATGAAAAATGTGGAAAATTGCTTTTGCGGCAAAGGAAAAGTACGTGTGCGTTTGTACGAGTATATAGCATAAGCGGTATGTGTGCAAAAAGTAAAAACCTGCTGCTGGCCCAACTGGCCCCCACTTGGTGGCATGAGCCAAGGCGAAGGCTGCACAGTCACAGAGCCGCGACGCTTCGACTTCGGCTTCAGCTCTGGCATCGACGGCGGCGTCAGTGTTAACGTTGGCTAATCGTTGACAGCGTCGTGCTATGTTTGGCATTCTTATTGGCCTTTTTCGGTGTTGTGGCCAAGGCTAAATGGCCATGTTTTTAATCAGCTTAGAAAATGTTTAACATTATGGCATTTGTCAGCGCTTTCCACGACCATCACAAAAGTACTTTAAAGTCTCTTTGTCGGAATGAACTTTTAAGAATCGACAAGATTGCTTCAACTTTTTCCAAACTCAAATATAATATATTTACAAACATGAGTATGCTACATTCTCCCAAGGGATTGTTTTGATCTTAATTCCTTTCTTTCGAAAAATATATTATTTAAGTTGGAACAATACCTTATATCTATTATCACCTAGGCTTTGCATACTTAGGCAATAGTCCTCTCCATATATTTGGAAACCATTTAACTACTGTCTTGAATTTCAAGCTTAATCAAGTTTAAGCAGTAATTATTGCAGCTAAAATGTATTTTTCAGAACTGAATTATGGCTGTGATTCCAAACAAACGAAACATAGCATACCAATCGTTTTCTGTATAAATATAAATTTTAAGAACAACAATTTCTCGCTATGCATAAAATCCACACATGCTACAGAAAATATTTAGCCTTTTTAATAGGACAATGAAGCAAGGGCTTGTATTTAAAATTTGCGTCCTCAGAAATGTACGATTTATTAACATTGTAAATAATTCTGTTAGTCTCTTTTGCAGTTTACCTGTGAATGTATTGATATTTCTTCACAATTACCGCGTCGAGTAAGTTCCAATTGAGTTGGTACACAAATTTAAAAAGGTTTTCGCAATATGTACTTTATTATAGAAAGAAACTACAGTTGTACAACGCATGATCCCCTACATACTTATATTGTAACCAGCTAATGAGCTTACTGCCATTTCTTGAAATTAGTATTTGCGGCCTTCGCGTTAACATGTGTGCATGTAAATATGTATGTATGTACCAATAGTTCGTCCCTTTTCCACACTTCAATATTAACTTTCTGACTGCATAAATGCCAAAGCAAAGTTATTATTTTTACATACAAATAATGCAGTGCAAAAGGCATTGAAAAACAGCAGCGGAAGTAGAACTTGCCCACAAACATACAAACTAAAACAACACACACTCATGCACTTACTAACTCACACATACACACACACACACACACACACACACACACATACAAAACCAGCGCATAATATTTCATTTCATTTTTCTCTATGAAAAGCTATTTTTCTACACGCAAAAATAGAGCCACGAAGCAAGAAACAAAGGCAGCAAAGGAAAATGTAGAAAAATAAAATAATAAAAACAACAAATGCCGCGCACAAAAGAACAGGCAGCGTTCCCCTACTACTACATGCAAACATCAACTACAACAACAAGTGCAGCAGAAATGCTGCCCACATTTGGAGTTCATTGTGTTATTGTGCTGCCGACTGTTGTTGTTGCTGTTGTCGCTGTAGGCCTCGGTACGCTACACCGCACTACATACCCACATAATCCATGTAAATAACCGAAGCTATGAGGCGACGTCAGCAGAGGCGGGAGAAGCAGGAGCTACAGCTAAAGCAGAAGCCATAGCTAGCTACTACGAGTATTATGGCTGCGAAAGCTCAACACAGACTGCAACTGTGAAGCAGCAGTGCGACTGCAGCCGGCCAAACAACATTACAGAAGCCGCTCAGAGAGGCAATCTAGCGCTCTCTTGCTCTCCCGCTCCATTGCAGAGAAATGTTGATGTAGGCCTCGAAAAATATGCAGTTTGCCTTTGGCATTGCCACTGTCACTGCAAGCAGCGCCGCCGACTGCGACTGAGAGCCCGAGGCCCCCTCGCTCCTATACGCAGCAACAGCAACCGACTGCACGTTGCTTGCTTCTGTAAATGTGTGTGTGTATGTACACACGAGCACATACAAATATTGCATGTCGCGTATATTTAAAACGTGGCATAGGTAAGTTCTCCCTTTTGTGATTTTTTTCTTTGCTGTGTGGAGGCTTGTTTGTTTTTTGTCCTATGCACAAAAGAGGAAATAAAATGTAAAGAAACGAAGCTTTTTTTGATACATATCAAAAGTTATATGTACATACTTGTATGTATGTTTCAAGCGGCTTTTTCTGCATACACATATATGTATGTACGGGTATATATGTACATGTGATGCATCTGTGTTTGTGTGTGTGTGTGTTTGGCTGAGCAAATAGCGCCATTTGCTGCAGCACTGAAAAGCAAAATAAATAAGTAGCAAAGGCGTTCTTTGTAGTCCAAGTCTTTCTGCGCTATTCTCTGCAGCTCTTCTGCCATATTAGCAAGTTGCATTTTACATTTTGTTTGTTCTCGGCAACTGAAAAATCATGGAAAACTCAGCACTGAAAAAAGCAACTGGCAACATGATAAAACACACACGCACACACGCA